AGAGTGAACCAAGAAATAAGCTGGGAAAAATGTCTGGTTGGATTAATTAGAATTTTAATGGACGATCTGAATTTTCTGATTAAATCTACTGGAATTCTAATAGAGATTGACACAATTTTAGTGATATGTGTCTCTTCCTAATGTAGATTAACTTTAATCTCGAAAAATTTGCTCTTTTTCTAATTCTTAGAATTAAAAAAAGATAAAAGTAAATTAAATCAAAATTAAAATTAATTTGCATTGGTATTCTGTACAATTTTTAGAGTGAAATCTCTCTTGTATCAGTTTTTATTAATGTAGTTTAATTTTAATCTCGGTTTAACTAGCTCTTCATTTTTTTTAGTCCTAAGAATTAAAAAAGGATCAGGAATAAATTAAATCGAGATTAAAATTAATCTATATTAATGGAAATATTAAGGATTGAAAATTGAGCCTCTTTTTGACTGGCTCAATTTTCACTCTTTAGAGTGAAGTTCCACTTCAAAGAATTTAGAGAACAGAAACGGACAATAATCAGAATCTAGTTCGTCCATTTTCAACCAGACATTTTTGCAGTGAGAATATCGTAGCTGTGATCAGCTGCGATTGCGAACTTGTCACGGATGATCCGATTAACACAAGCACTGCCGTTAACGTTGTTCGGAGGAAATACAACGACAGAATTGCCGTCGCTATATACCGAGTCCTATACGTGACAAACGTCCTTCGTAAATTGTTAATAATGTATACACAGCCTTCTGATTTCGTTTATTGTCACTGCCATGTTTCGCATTTAAAAAGCGAGAGGCTCGAGTCGCCCCGCCAAATCGTTCACAGAGGCGAGATTTTCCCTCGTTGTCTTATCATAGAAAAAAACCGAAGGAGAGAAATCCCTCATAAAAATTTAATAATAGTACTGGCCAATTAATCACTTACTCGAGTATCGAAAGTATCGTTAAAGATACTTTCAATGTTCTCTAATTCTTTGGAGTGGAATCTCACTCTAAAGAATAAATTAAACTAGTCTTAGAGAAGAGTGGTCAATTTTCTTTAAAAGTGATGGACTTTCTACAATAAGTCGTTAGTAATAAATTAGAAGTCAGGGACAAGTTTTAAGCGAGAGAGTCAGTAATATATTATAAAGCAACAATAAATCAGTAATCAGTGAGAGATGGCCAAATTCCATTTTTTTATTATTTGAAACTTAGATGCATTGATTATCGCGCTATTATTTACCTTCACTTACCCGTAGTTGCAATTCATTGTTAAAATCTAGATTACGTTATGACTAATCACATAGTATATTGTTATTTGAAAACTACCATTATTCTGATTGAACTGAAATATTGTTACATAACGATCTATAATTATAATTTATTATGTAAATTTCCTAAAAAATTATAACTTATTCTAACTTGTCACTAATATGATATGAGTGGGGACTAATAGCTTATTGTAAAAAAAAAACCCAGATTTCAGTCTTCAGAGTGAGAGTTACTCTTAAAGTTTTAGAGAGTACTTAAATTAATTGGCTAATACTAGTAATCAATTTCTACAAGGGACCGTCAATGAAATTGCAATTGTGTGAATGTCCGATTGTGTCTCTCGCTATTCTAATGGCACGTTAAATATGTTCATAACAGTAGGCGCGTTTAACGTTTAAATATGCAGCGTTAATACGGGCGTTCCTCTTTGCGTCTTTTCGAATATATTGCGTTGTACAGATTGACGTACATGGAGACACGCTCGTGCGCATGATTCGTGTGTGTGTATGTGTGTGTGTGTACATGTATATACATATATGTACACATACACACATATACACAACAGACGCGTATATGTCTCGTCGCTATTATCGGGTGCCAGTTGGCCTCCCGACAGGCGCGGGACGTTTTTATTTCCGTAAAATTCAGTTGGAGAATACTCTCGTGCAACATATATAAAATATATGTCAAGCACAACGATAGAATCCATATAACGTCACCCTATTACTTTGCGAACGTACAGGTGCTTACAGCTCTGCCGCGCTGTTGGGATAAGAAAGAAAAAAAATGTCGACAGCATTTATCTATCCGTTTCTCGCATCAAGAGAATACCGCTTCTTAATTTCCACCTAGTGTGTTACGAGCGTTGTGGTAAAAATAAACGAGATAGTAAGCAAAGGGCAAATATATGTGTTTGTGTGTGTATATATGTATCGGAGGAGAGCGAACGGTGAAATATTGACGCCACCTCTATACGCGATGTCCGCTGAATATTTTATTAAAACGCCGGCTATAAAGGTGGAGGACCGTGTGAGCGTCTTAAAATAAATACCAAGAAAGCACGCGGCAGAGCTTCCCAGCGGGCCGTACGATCGGAAGTCGACTCCATCCATCTGAAAAGCTTGTCAATTCTGCATTCAACGTTTATAATTAATAACGTAACGGACTGAGAAGAGGCGATTCGTGGCGTCCGATGGGGGCGAAATTAGTGTGTCATGCTTCGTAGTATATATATAGATAAATCTGAACACATCGTGTGTCGAGTTAAGATTACTCTTTGTTAAGCTTCGACGAGAGAGAGAAAGAGAGAAAGAGAGAGGATGGAAGGGATGATCCTGATAATTTTTCCCTTTAAGGACATTTCTCTTTTATATTTCTCTGGGAAATCCCAAGTTGAAATAGCGCGTTATTTCAATTGGATCTTTTTTAAATCATTGCTGGGGTAATATATGGATTTTTTCCTAGCAAGAAACACAGTGTAATACAGTGATCATTTCAACTTCAACATTAGCAAACAAGAATGTAATAATTCACTGTATTACACTGGCTGTATTTAGCAGAGAAAGTAGCTTTTTAGCTGGTGTAACTCTTTAATATGATTGATTTATTCATTTAGATCCAGAGAATAATTAAGGGCAAGACCAATAGTTTAGCAGAATGTTTATTTTGCAACTGTTGGAAGTTTTCTTCGCTGAGATAGGACTACTCCTCTAGAGCTAAAAGTATAATCTAATCAACGCGGAGAAAAAAAACTTCCAAGCAAAAAAAGGGTGCTTTCCAACAAAATCATCTTTATTATTTGTCAATGTTAAACGAAGCCGAAATAATCAGTGTTACAGTTTACAATAGGTGATTTCCACTTGATGGGAGTTTTCTATTTAATGACAGAAGTCGGTTCAAACGTTTTTCTATGTTACTGTCTGAATGTCAAGAAAGATAGAATATTTGTGTCGACTTGTGTCATTAAACAGAAAATTCCCACTTTCTTGCTAAAAAACACCATAAACATTCTGTTGAACGCATCCAATTATATTGTAGAATTTCGTAGCAATTATGCCGTTTATCTGCTAAACTTAGCTTTCACTAAGTCACTTGATACTGCAAATGCACATTTGTAATGCCAAGTGGACTGCATCCTGTTTCTTGCTGGAAAGCACACAGTTAAGTAATAATTGACTGATATTGAACAATTGTGTCTTTGTTTTGTTCTAAATGCGTCCTAAACAAAATGTACATCTTTTTAGAAGCGGATTGTTCAAGATTGCAAAAAAGGGACGTTGACCGTTTTGTTACATTGACCAATCTTGATTGCCACTAAAAGATCTACGGAGAAGTGTCTACCCTCTGTTCATTGAGTTAAGCGCAACAATGCTCTTACGGTCGTATGCGCGGGAATGCGTGTATATTGTATTCATGTGTGCGTGTATGTATGTGCAATTTCAACCCCTCACGAGTAGTTCTTTTTCTCTCTTTCTCTCTCTTTCTCCCCTCATCTCGCGCACGAGTAGATTTTAAGTGACACTCGAGAGAACGAAATGATTCTTGCCAAATTCTCGATGGGACGTAGGGACAAATGACTAATTGCATTTAAAACGAAAATCGCAAGAAATATATTGGTATTATAAATGACTGGTATCTCGTTATCTCTTCGTTATTTTTGCCCACCCGCAGTCTCGGCTGTACAAACTTGCTATCAGCCTTACGATTAGGACACGTCTCACGGATTAGGAGCGTGTCCTGTAATTTGAGTCGTTACAACCATTTATCCAAATATCCGCAGAGGGACATGTAAAGAAGATGATCGATCTTCTGTAAGTCAAATGTGTATCTTGAAACGAGATGAATATTATAAATGTGAGCGAATTTACTAGGATTTATAATTTCATTGTCATCAACGTCTACTAAATTTGTTCACTTTTGTAATTTTTATCTCGTTTCAAGGTACACAGTCCTCTCTGGTCCTTCGTGGACTTTGAGATTCAAAATTTTCATCTGGAGAATCTTTGTAAAGAATTTATTGTAATTATACGGGCACATAAAACAGCGCCCGTATAAAATTATCACAGCTCGTTGATGCACTAAGATTTAAATATCATTACTATAAATATATGGATACGCAAAACGTGAACTTTTCGAAAATATTCTATCCAGTCCAAAAGTCGTCAAGTTGTCGTTACGCAAGTCGTTATATTAATTTGGAATTCTTGTATGTCGCAACTAAATCACCTCCGCATTCGCGGATACACGAATTACATGTATATCTTGTATACAGTAGAACCTACTTGGCGCGTGTGTTATAATAGTTTTCCACTGTGCATTTTTGACACTAACATCAATTTTGGCGTCGATATTGTATCGTTGCGCCAATAATAAATTAGCGTACGTGGTACGCGAGTTGATTTCAGTGACGAAAAAATTGTGTATATGCTCTATATATAAATATATATATATATACACATACACACATATATATATATATATGTATATATATATATATATAATAGTACAATTAACACGCAATCTTGAGATATATATGTGAAGTTTATATAATTTTATCGCTTTCCTTTTATAAATATCTCAATAAAAAGGTATTAAAAAAATGATCTATTGTATATTTACATTAAAACTATCAACACAGACTTGTATTACGAATGATGTTACGTGTGTAATAATTATTAGCGATAGTAATATTATGTCATTATTTTCTACATACTTAATATTTTTGTAATAATAATGCGAAAGCTTAAAGATAACAAATTTACATGGCACGTTTGTACATTTATTAATAAATTGTATAATATGGAATTGTATTTATATAGGCAGTAAGAAATTCAGACATACACAAAGGCCCAATTGTATTAATATCGATTGAATGTAATTCGAGATTAAACTTCAATATAAATACACATTAGTGTGATATCGTCTATTTAGGTTTTCTGTCTTTATCATAAGGGGGACGCGACTCTTACTTTCTCTGGTCTTATGAAAATATATTTATAAAAAATAACAATAAAACCTTCCTTGTTCGTTTTGAAACGTTTTCATGTAAATACATATGCGCTTGCTTAGCGCCGAGACACTACCATGTCTTCAGATCTTGTACATACGCTATGTATTAGAGAGAATATTTTCCCAATCAAAATTCTTAGTGTCGTATATATATAGGATGGTAAATCCAGATTTTACTTGTCAATTACTTTAACAATGGATTGTTTAGTATCTCATAAAAAATAATAATAAAAATTGTAGTCTTTTCGCCCAGATTAACAAAATTAATTACAAAATAATTATAAATTATTTCATATTATTTCTACAAATTACATTACTTATATACGATCTTATTGGTTTGCTATCTTTTTTTTTTACAAGTTAAACAGTTTATTCCACCCCTGATTTTATTTTATATAATAATCCTGATTTATCCTGAGAAGATTTGGCCGAGGATAATGCAGGGGAACTGGATGAAGAGCTCTTTGAACTCGTGGCAGTACTTGTACGTTTGTCCTGCTTAGCTTTCTTCATCATATCTTTCAGTCTTCTATCTGCGCTAATAATATGAATATTTGGTGTCATCTTAGCTCCACTACCTACGATTAACAGTGTTAGTTTAGTGACTAACTTCACACATCAATAAAAATGTACGCTGTACTTACTTGAGCTAGATTTTTTCTGCTCTTTAGATTTGCTTTCTGTTACAGTCTTTGGTGAACTCCTTTCTTTCGAGACCTAAAAATTATAATAATTATAATAACTATAAGAATTCGGTTTTCTCACTGTAGCCATATCGAATTATGATATTAGAAGCAAAAAGTCGTAATTTTTTTATACATAAAAATAAATTTTTATACATGAAATAAATCATTTTTGCCATATGTTTTACACATATTAATATTTGATTTAAAATAATTCTTTTATCTCACATTAATAAATGCACGATTTATTTACATATATCCCATGTTTCTAAAAACTGATCTTATAACAATTGATCAAGATTTACAGACTTATTTGCTAATATTTACAAACTGATGAGATCTTTGATAGATGCTTCACGTATCTATCAAAAAAATGTACGTAGTAACATATCAAAAATTAATTATTTTAACGTATAATGCAAAGAAAAAAATTTCTCATGTCTGTTGTGATAATTTAACATAATTACAGTCAGAAAAAAGGATATTTTTGCAGTAAAAATTCGCATTGACATCAAGGGAGTAAAAGATAATAGAATTATCTTGTTTCAAATTTAACATAAATTCATTAATAGTGACTAATTAATGATAACAATATATTTTTCATGGGTAAACGAAATGATATATAAAATATTCTCAAGAAATTGTAAATGTAGGTGAATACACACACCTGAGACTTTGAACAGTTAGAGCAGTACCACACTTGTTTCGGAACGTTATCTATCTGCGAGTCTAAGATATGTGGAACATGGCACTCTTGATGATACAAAGAATGACATTCTTGACATTCCACGAGCCTATTTCTCGCCCCGACATCCATTCCCTTGCAAATGACACACGTAAGATCATCCTCTAGAATTTCCAACGCTAGCGTATCGTCCGATTGCAGGATGTCTGGTGGAGTGTCACGCGCTGGCAAATTAACTGGGGAGCTGTTCTTACTTGATTTACTCGAATGCTTAGACGAGCTAGAACTCTTACTCTTCTTACTGCTACTACTACTGTGATCGCTCAATACTGGTTCTTCCATCATGTACTGAACAACAATTGATAAATTTAGAACCATTCTTGTTTCATGTTACGGGATAATCATACCTTTTTGTGCAGCACATTGGAGAGCATTTTGGATGGTCCATATTTCTGTTTAATCGCCTCATCTAATAGAGCTCGCAGCTGCTCTGCAGAATCCTTGTTGGTGGAATACAGGAGTCGCAATCCCTGCGTGAATTGAGGATCCAACTCCAACTGAGTCATCTCTTCAGAAACTCAGTTATTCGCTTTCAGCACAATATCAATTTATGTTGCTGCATAAAAATTAATTCAAGTTAACCTCGGTGACAGTCAGGTTATGCTTCGACAAGAATGAAAACTATGTACATATTAAACATAAATATTTCTTATCCATTTATTACTTATCAATTTGCGCGAATATGAATTACGTGAAACCCGTCTTTTTCCTCTCTGTGTAAAAAGTATCGTTCGAAAAAAGGTAAAGTTTACCTTCTTTTGTTTTCACCTTGCACGACCCTCGAGATTTATCTTGTCGAACGGACGGAAATGTACGGTATGCTTGTCTAATATGCGTTTAATTCATTCGCGTAGACTCCGAAGTGATGATCTCGCCAAAAACCTCTGCGATAAAGCCAAATACAATAATATTGACATTTTTTGTTATCCAATTGCCGTGCCGTTCCGTGCTATGAAAATCTCGTTGTAGGTTATCGCTTTTCGAACGACGAGCTTTTCATGAAGCTATAAAAACGAACCAAACAAATTATAAAAATATTTATATGTACTATACAAATCGACGATTTAATTAAACGAAACTTAAAGATATTTGCCTATCAGCCTATAATTGTCAAGTATTGTAACAACGCGCTTCTTTCGTCACATAATAAAACCGTAACTCGCGATTGAACTTCTGTGTGTTTGTTAAATCAAACACACAGAATGTCAGAATATATAATATCTTGAATTACTATATCGAATTTTTTTTAAACTTATACGTTTATGTACATCTCCAAGCATGAAAATAAAATTCGTTCGAAAAAAATTCGACCACGTTAAGATCGAAAGTTACAAATTCATCGACATTCAGGAAGAAATATAAACAAACGCGAATTCGAGATAGATTGATTTGGATCAATAACAAAAGAAACGTTATCAGCAAGTTTTTCTTGCGGGTGAGAATTTGAAAATGCCGCCGGAAGTACGGAACTAATTGCACGACACCTACGGATTCTTTCGCGGTCGACAGGAACTCGAGGAATGCAGAGTGCATCGCCACGCAAGCCCGACGCCCCCCTGCACGCATTCCAGATGATTTAAGAAGATTCCAGAGTAGATCTGGCAAAGCTTCGATTCGTGAATGCGAATTTGAGTGCGAGAAATAAAATCTGGGGGAGCAAAAGCGTCTCCTCTCTGTCTCTCTTTCTCTCTCTCCTCATCGTCTCGCGCAGCGTCGAATACGACGACGACGAGGATGAGGACGAGGATGAGGACGACGGAGTGGACGGAGTAGGAGGAAGGCGATCAAGCAGCGTTGGACAGCGTCGGTCGCCGCCGTCGCCGCCGCGATCGAAAGAGGCGACGAGAAGGCGAAAATATAACCAAAGAAAGACCAAAATAGTAACTCTCGCGCGGGCGACGGTGCGGCCAGAGCGTGGATCTCTCGTGCGAGTGACTGCGCAGGCGCGCAACAAGGACACGATACGCGCGTCCCGCTTCCGCCGCACGACGGCCGATCGTTCCGTCTCCGTCTGACGTACGGGCGGCGCGTTTCTTGCGACTCCGTCGAATTTTCGACGGGCAGTTGGCAGCCGTGCGTAAAAGAAATAAATAATCAAAGCGACCATGAAGTGACAAATAAAGTCGGGGATTGAGAGAACAATGCTCGCGCGTACGACGGCAAGGAGGACATCCCGAGTCGCGCAGGTAGCGTGCGTTCGCCCCGCTG